TGCTCTACTTCCTACACCCTCGGGCCAGGCTGGCTCCCTACAGACAAGTAGGTCAGACTGTTGAGTCATCGGCTCCGTGCAAGGTCCCGCGGTTCAGTTGACTAGTTTGCTACGATGTTCAAAAATGCCTTGTACACGGGATAATGATGCGAGCTTTCTTTGATTAGTAAACAATGCTAAAGGTTTACGGGCTATGGGAGAATAGGTTTGACTGGGAGAGTCGTCCACGGTGGTCGGCGATTAACCGAATCCAATGCGCCTCGAGGCGCACCGTCGTGAGCGGTCGAAATCGCTTCCAACGGTCTAGCGTATGGTTGGTCAACGCAGCCTCCTAGTGGACAAAAACTTTGGTTTGTTTCCTTGAATTTCCCTCCGTTTGAGGGGGAAAGCTTGCGTTTAGAAGGAAGCAAATAATATTAGTAAAGTGGATTCAATGATGACCGTCACATTTTTTATCGCCTTTTTGGTAGTCTGGAAGCTCTACTCAGTTTACGTGTTCTTCGGAGCAGTTTAAGTCCTCAGACATAAATTGCATTGAAAGTAGCATAAAACCGCAGACAGACACCCGATTTCATCCTGTTTGGGCCTTAGTCCGCTGTGGCTTGGCGGTTAATCCATCTACAGCTTTGGGAGCCAGTTTTTGCATACATATGAGTTTAAAAATCATTGATTGAGTGGTGTGCGGAGCACCAAGACAGGATTCATGAAGCGCAGCTTCAAAAGTGACGTTACCTGACCCGTATGGGTACCTGTCTGCACGAACAGTGCGGTGTGTATATAGGAGCAGTTCGCGAAGCGGACAGACTGCGGCGGCCACTCTTAGGTAATGTTGTCTTTGAACGAAACTACAAAAGGTATGCACAAAAGTCAATGCCTCTGTGCTGGAATGAAATTTCAGCTCTCAGAAAAGGTTGCCTTCTGCCATCTATTAATGCAGATTTTAATACCTCAACTTGGGCTTATCGTTGAATCCGGGACGTCAGTTCGCATGAATGAGCCGGTGAGTCATTATGAGACTCCGCTTCGGGGGAACGGCGTTTGTCGATTTACATGGTGCACAATAGTTTGTGTTCAATGACCGAAACCAATCCTACCAATGACAGCTCATTCCCCCATACGCCAACAGATGTACTCAAATAACTGCCCACGGAATCGTTGTACCGGTTGAATTATATTAGAGGCAAGAGTGCTGTTGTTGTAGTGGGATGTGTTGGGTTGTCTTAAGTAAGGGGCATAAATCAGCTAGGTTACAAATACCGCTGTTGTTGGTCAAGATTGTACATGAACAAACAACGTTAAAAAGGGGGTCAATAAGGACATTGTGTAACATGATGGACTTTCATTGTTCTTCTGTTTGTAGGTTAACCCGTTCATACTTGAGCATGATTACTGCGCAAAACAGTAACATGGTGGTTAGAATTGTTGTTTGGTAAACAACGGAGTGACTATTCGGTTTCAAAGACGCTTCGGCCAGGAGAGCAGCACATTCATGCGATAGTCGTGTCTGTATAAATGCTGCATCCGTAATTCTAGAGTGGCTAGAAAAAGAAACTCATACCTTTTTTGGATATTAGATTAGTTTTGTCATCTCCAGTTGATCATTTAAATGTTTATGCGTGGTTCTTATACACGTGGCGAAATGTATTTACTCGGGAACTCGTGAAACGTCCAGTAGTATCTTATTTCAGAGCATCTTGTTTCTAGTTTGTTACCGATTTGGTAGTTTTAGCTGAGAATTCGGAAGATACAGAGGACCTTTTATTCCAAAATATTTTCCGTAGATTGCAAAAATGCTAGCATACGACGGGTAACCTGCTCAGTCCCCAACTTGTCGATTTCGTCCATCACGTTCAATAACCTGTCAAGGATGCTTGTAGTCACAATGTTGCTAACCTTGTTTGTGCCGGTGTATTGCTATCGTTCCGGCACCTGTTCCCACCGCAGAAGAGCTGTGAACATTATTTTAATGTGATCAATTTACCTCTCTCGCCCGCCTGGTAACTTGGGTTGGAATTCCAGCGGCGCAGGCTACTTCAATGGCTCTGCTGCTTTCAGTTATTCCCTCAATAGCTTCGTATAAGTAAATCAGTTTTCCTCGGTTCCAACGTGTCTTCATAGTCTGTAATGTCAAAAATACCGGGACGTTTTCTGTTTCCGATTCACCTCAATAGAAAATGAGCGATTTAATCAACTGACAATGAAACGTGGAGTGATTTTGAACACGTATCGATGTGCGGCCGTCAACTATACATACCAGTAAATCAGTTCACCTGAGGTTTATTGACTTGCCACCGCATTTTAGAGTTACTCACTCACCTTTGCAGGATAGGGGGGAGTCTGATGTCCAGGTAGCTGATCGACCTGTATGCTACGGCTCCCGCTCACTCTTGACTAGGATGTGGCTGACGCTACAGACAAGTTTCATTTTTCACGCTGAATTCGGACAGGACTGAACGTTTAGGCATCCAGTGTGTGATTTGTCAGAACAGCATGAAGGTATTTACAAGCAACTCTTCTTGGCCGGGGAAGTTGCGGCCTGATGACACTGGCGTATGTGTCGTCAGTTTTAGCCCAGGCTATATCACTGAGTGCCGCATGCGAACCGAGACCAAACTGTACGTCCGTTAAACAGTGGTTCTATTTGGTCTCTTGTATGACATTAAGATGCTGGCGATTCACCATCGCAACGTATGCAACGTGTGGCACTTAAGTAGTTTTCGTTGCCTGGAGCATACACTTGGTGTTCTCTGGATTGAACAAGTTCCAGACATGGAGGCAACGATTAACCGTCTACATCGGCTGGGACATGTTTGCCGAATTAAGGGAACACTATCCTAAAGCAGCTTCCATGTTGCCGCTTGAATAGTGGGAAATGGAATTCGAGTGCCCAAACCTTCGACACCTGAATACAAAAGAGGGCACTAGAGATTGGAATAATAGTGATCGTCAGCTTCTAGTCAGAGCCCAAACTTGCAATACTCAAAAGTATCATGGAAACGGCTGAGTATGGAGACAGACAAGCTGAATCTGCAGTGACTGCGGTTGTGGTTTTGCTGGCAGCACTGATCTGGCCTGTAACCGACGAACATAGTGATCCATCGGTGGATAAAGTAATTTTGCTGATCCGCCTCAGTTTTCTGAGGTTACCAGAGGACGAGGCCTGCGAGGATGCTAAAAGTGAGATTCCGTGACTTTCTCCAAATACATCATTGGCCACCAGCTTCTCGATAGTGTCAACAACACGTTGCTTGCACCTCTGATAGGATGCAGTTGGTGTCCTCAGTACTCATTTTCGAGTTCCTAACTTTCCCAAATTTAGCTCAACGATCTGCTTCGTTTCTTGAATGTGGCAAAGCCCGGAATGGAGGTTATGTAGGAAGAATCTGCTCACGCAGTCCAGTTCTCACTGGATGCTTTCTAATCCATTGCAGATTTGGAAGCCTAAACGTCTTAAAGCTCTCTGTGTTGCCATTTGGGTCCGAGGGCGTATATCGATCCAGGGACAGTGGTTGTGCCTAATCAAATCGGTAGCGGCCACTTCTGCAGATGATCATCTCTATGAAAGTAATGGCCTCCGTCGTACGACGCCGCCGAACATAATAAATTGACCGTTTTCTGGACACCGTTTCAAATTCTAAGGGAGCTAAGCCTCTTTTCTTTGGACTCCTGAGGTTGCCGTGGAGCCCTCGTATAGACTTGTTTTATCCGGAAAGGAGTTTCAATCAGGTGTCATGAACTTCCTCACTGTGACCTGTGATAGCCCAATAAGGGGACAAAATATCAGGCTGTTACAGCCAAGAAGTTTCCGTTGCCAAGTCAATGCAACTATGGATTTGAGTAGTTCGCGAGTGAAACGTTATTTCTACCTTGTCAGCAGAATGTTTCAAGCCAAAACTCAAAGCTCATATACAGTGCTACCAGGATACGGGAGTACTGTGGTCGAGTTCAGGGCAGATGATCCGGGTCGGCCTTTTCACCGGACTCCACTCCCATCATTTGTGCCTCGGGTAGTGAGGAGAATGGTATGAGTCTGCGGGAAATACACTCATTAGCAAACCAATCTGGTTTGCACGAGAGACTCAACTGAATATCGTAAACATCACTACCATTATTACTATTACTCGTTCAGCTGTAACACCGTTTTGCTGCTTTCATGCCACCCGAGGGGGACACGAGAGCCGATGTACTGTCAGATTGCCAAGCTAGGCAGGAGCTATCGATATGCAGTTTTCGGTTTCGAACTATGGACATTCTGACCAGTACGTTCGCATCTCATCTGCTGAACTATTTCGAACTCCGTATGAAGCTAATCAAGTTGCACTATACTGAGGCATGTTTCTAGCTTCAAAATCTAGAGTTTGTGGTTCTGCTTACTATTGCCTTATCAAGTCAATTGAATTCATAATATTCTCGTTCTTTAGATCACCGTGTTTCGGAATAGACCAATCTCATCATGCAAACTTTGAAACACTCAACTAGTTAGTGTTCTTTGTCACCGAGACCTCGAACAGAAATTCGGACTCAGTAAACCATTGGGAAAAATTGCCTCTGCGAATAAGATGGAATCATCTGATCCATGGGCATAAAGACGGCTGAAGGGAGTCGCTGGTGCTAAATCTCTTCGTCTCCTACAGCCTGCGCCATAGGGAAGGTTTGTGGTCGAGTTTTACCACTTGTAAGCTTAAGAAGCATTCGATCTCCAACAAACTAGACGCTGCATATTCTTTCTGACTGCTTGGGAGCATGTGTACTATTCCAAAAAAGGAATAATAAAAGATAATCGTTCAACTGTAACACCCTCTCGGTACCTAGCTGCCATGCTGCCCGAGGGAAGCACGAGGGTTGGGATACTGCCAGGTTGCCCAAGCCTGAACAGAAGTCGAAAAAGATAAGTGGCGTTCGAATCACGGACCTTCCGGTCAGCAAATTCTCACTCTAACCGCTGAGCCTTCTCGCCCCTGAGTCATATAATGAAATCTATTCGACACTTTCCACTTACCGTGAATTTAATGTCAGCCTGATGTTTCAAGAGGTTCAACATATCGTAGTCGTGCGTAGTAGCCACCACATGGGGATTGCTCGATTTCAACAAGTGCTCGATTATTGCTGTTGTTAGCGCTGATGCTTCAGTCTGGAACGAAATGGAAAATGAAGGTTTCCATCATTGTAAGGTTTACTCACTTGGATTGAAAAGCTAGTGAAGCGTGTGACCAGTTGGACCGCAATTGTTTACAGCTTAACTAAATTTACTGTTGGGTGATTACACTGCTGTATGCGAGTTTTCCTCTGCCCAATATATCTACTTTCTTTGTTTTTTTCTATTAACTAGGGTAAAACGAGTTTTTGAGGCTACTTCTTGTTCAGACATCAGGTGCATGTTACGCCAGTGCTGCCCTTTACTAGCGCTAGATATTCATGTTCCCAAATAGTCTGCCTGTCCTTACCTTGTGACCTATTCTGGTATGAGATTCAACTCGTTTTTCTGCATAGATATGAGTGCATTCATTGCATTTTATTCCCCATACAATTCCCTCTCGAAGCAACCGTTCAGCTGCTCTGCAGCACAGGAGTTTCCTTTTCCCCCATCTGGGGCGCCGCTTTTATAATACTTGCACTTAAGACATATGGACTGATTTTCAACGACCTCATTTTTCGCACTCAACCGTTCGAACCCCCTCCCTGTTAGGTCCCACCACTGATGCTTATTCTCCTCTTACTTGGTGTGTAACCAGGCTAACCTACAATTAACTATTTTGGAACCTGTTCGTGAATTTGTTAGGCTAGTGTTCGGTCAAAAGCTTCTGCGAACGGAGACCTTATTTGCCTAAATATCTATCGTAAATCACTAGTGGGTACTGCTCCAGAGCAGGCTGATGAAGGGTTCAGGTTCACACGTGTCATTTGATTCACGGATTCGGTTTTCTGCCACACACAACTAGGGGTAGTCTGTCCGGTTGTGATCATGTTTGCAACCGAATTTTGATCCATCTCCATGCCCCATTTGACATGCAGTTCCTAACCATTATCTGTGATGGAATGAGGATTATCATTCGTATTGTCGTGTTTGATCAGTTGACCATTTTTTAAAGCCATCACAGTATGCAGCCTGCTAGTGTGCTTGCAGATAAGCTCAGTTTGTTGACAGCCACTTATATCGGGTATCCGGGTTCCTCTTCCTCAATATGCTTTCGCAGCTTCCAATAAGCGTTTCCAAGTTTTTGAGTTCCGAGACTACCTAGTATCACCTTGGGACTAGTATTACTTCACAGATAATTCTGATCCATATTGACTCAGAGCAGTGATTTATCTGCATACAAATGGGTTAACTGGAACATGGATTATTTGTTTTGTCATAATTCATGAACGAACAGTGACCTGAATAATCCTGATGTCCCAGCTTGCACCCCACCTACTGGTCTCTTGTCGTGAGTATTTTACGTGGAGGACACTTCTGCGAACCAAACAGTCTTTCAGGTAGCCTGCATAAGGGGTTCCGTACAAAGATCATCCATAAATGAAGACTTTTTCACTTCCAGGTTTTCCCAATTTCCATAGATGAGAACCCCTTATGTGAAAACGACTGAACGGCTTAGTACTCCTCAATTTAAGAGTACTGGAACAGTGTCAGTAATCTAAATTTGCTCTGCTTAATGCTGTTTTATGCGCTCGAGCCATCTTTCCAATGTCCCCTTTATTCTATGACACTTAAGATGTGCTCTCTAGGAATAAATTCAGAGCGGAAATCGGACCCCTTATCATCCGTTCTCGGTGCGCACAAAATTCACAGCTGTATGTCCGCACAACATGATGGGTCATAGCACCACTTCTCCAGCACCTTAGTTGCGGAGAAAAATGTGACCTATAGTGATATGCCCCCAGACGTTGGAGTGGTCGTGCATATGGTGATGAGCGCACACACCCGAACATTTATTCGTTTTGACAAGCGCTCATTTGCATGCGAATACTCAAATTCAAAACAAGACCAGCTGTCGCTCATTGGTTACGGGTGTATTGAGAAGCAGTTGCTCAGTCTCGCATGGCACCGTAAAGTAGAGTCTAACCGGGAAGGTGAATGTAGTGGGTCGGTGGCCCACTTAGTGAGTGACTATGAATATCGCTCTGTGGATTAAAAGACCGTTTGTTTTTTTAGAGTCATGCTCACAATGCTTGCGAATGAATGCAGTGCTCACAAATGTGATATGGTTGTATTACTATTGAACCAGTATTCCTCTCAGTGTCGAATAAGTGTTCTATTTACGTAGTTTGTATAATTTCGTATAAACGACACTGTTTACTTGGTTCTGATAAATTGACACTACAGTGTGCAAAATAATCGAATACAAATATTCATTGCACAAAGAATCCTATCGCCCGTGATACCATACAGGTATCACATTTTGTGCTATTTATGACAACATACAGCTATTGTAAGCTAGCTCGCTGCTTTTGTACTACACAAACGCTTGCCTTTCCGATAGAGTGAGCAAATTCATCCAAGAGAATTAGAGACCTTTCTGTTGAAAACCTGAGAGCAACTAAGACCAAGTTGAGACTTAGAGAATCAGAGGAACGATCGAGGGCGGCGAGTGTTTCAGTGCACGTGATAGCGTATATTGCGTCCATTGGTCCGATTGTCGCTTCCTCCGCAGGAACGAAACTCCCAATCTGACTCAGGTACACGGTAATACCGATCTGCAACAGAAAAATTACTGAATGTTATCTGGATTTGGTAACCTACTGGGTAAATGTACCTCAAGAAAATTTTTGTCCTACTTTTTCAGACTGATTATTCACTTTTGCAGCCGTGAGGCTAATGAACATTAACGTGCACTGCGTGCATTTTTAGAGTTTAACATCTCCAGAACATCTGATTTCTCCGGTTTAGGACGTGGTGATCCAAAATGAACCAGAGAATTAATGGTTGATGTCAGATATCCAAAAAATCTCATTATTACAAGTCACGTGTATCTGGCATGTTCCATTTTGTATCAGAATTGTCAACGCTACTGCTCAACCTCATCGCATGTTATGAACCAGACGTATTTACCATAGCTATCCGCATAATACAACAGTGAGGTAAGAAAGTGAGGTTCCAATCTTCAGCCAGAACGGGTAACACTGGAAAAGATATTCGGATTTGCCGAGGGGCATACCGAAAAGCACTCAGCTGTTTAACCGAGGTTGGTGTGACGTAACATGCGCGGGGATCCGCTCACCACTGTATCTAGGGGCTAGCCATGTGAGTGGCTTACAGTGATTCAGCTTGGTCCGTAGCAGAGCACAAGTAACCAAGAGGACAAGGTGATTCGCACTTGTGGTCAAAACATATTCAGTGTCAACTTCTTTGTGTTGCTATGTTGCCGTGGTTCATAAATTCATCACGCTTTAGTTCTGGTGACAGCATGAGTTAATGTACACATGTGATGACAAGACGGCACGCGTGCTGTGTCGATGTACACGGTAGTGTTTCGGTCAATGGACTACTAGAGCAGTGCGAGTAACATGGACATTGAGGGATGGAAAGTTAAATGTTGGCAACCAACTCGACTCGACAGTGTCAGTCTGCGTCGTATGAAGACCTTTCGAGGTACTTTATCGACTAATCGATCTTCTCAGTTGGGCGAGCGTCGGAACAGGTCTGGTATTGATACCGGTGGTTTCATTTAGGTGGATAGTTATCACGTCACAACAGCCTTTTGTCACCGGTGTGTTGCGTGATCTTTTGTTGCAGTAAAGTGGTGAAATGTAAGAACCTAAGACGTCTGGGGGTGTCACCGCTGACCGATTCAAGGCATACACACTTCATGTTTTCAAAAGTATTACAGCTTGTCAATGAGTGACGAATGGATGAGAAATAAACACTAACCTGCTTAATGTACACACTTTTCCCACTGGCATTCGGTCCAGACACCATCGTGGTCCGTCCGGTTTCATTTCCCGAGTAGAACGAGTTGCGTATAGTATTGTTGGAGACCAACGCTTGGATGGGGTGCCATCCGTTCTTGATACAGATAACACCACTGTCCACCAGTTTCGGGCGCACACCATTCATCGAACTAGCTGCCAGCGCGAATGCATGCAC